CTTCAAATAATTTCATTTTCTTTTTCTGTCTAAGCATCTGTCTTTATTTGCAGTACACCTCTTCATTGAAGAATGTATATGCTTAGCTGACATTTAATGTAAGGGAAATACATCAGTTACATTATTGTTTTTATGAATATATAAATAAGACGTATCTCCATGTTTGTTGTCACTTATGACTTTTCATGATAGTGATCCCTTAACTATACACCATAATTATTATTGCTACCAGTACTATCAGTAACACGCATGTCACTATAACAATATAGTTATTATTATTCTTACTATTATTAATATTATCCTCAGTATTACTATTAGCATTACTAACACTTAATAGTAATTCAGTATAGACCCCCCTACCTTACAAATTAAAATCAGGAAAAATATAAAAATCCCATCCAACCCTGTAGTTTCACCCAGTAATAATTTACTCCTTACTTTAACTTCCCACGTCTCCCTTCTATTATTCAACCCCTTAGAGTTTTCTTCTACCTATGAATCTACTACCAAAAAGAAAACAGACTGTTTCTACTCCCTCCTTATAAATCAAAATCTTAGGGGAAAAAGACAACAACAACAACAGAGAATATCATTTCGTCTGTTGCATAACTTTCACTTTCTCCCCTTTTCTTCCTGCTTGTTGCTCTTCTTCTCCTTCTTCTCCTACTCCTTCATACCTATTTTAATGATTATCATTTTAGGCTGACAGGTATACGCCTTAATATTTTATTGTTACACGTTTTGTTTGTGTATGTACCTGTAGTGTCTACGGGGTGGTAGCTGTAATATAAGTAGTAGTAGTGGTAATAGTAATAATAGTATTAATAGTGGTACATAATATCTGTTATTCTTAATATAACAAAATATAAATACAATTTAAATCAACAAAAGTGGAATTTATATATATCATAAACTGATAAAATGATTAATGATTATCAAATAGAAATATGTGAATTGAAAGCATACAGTTCATAATGTATAACAGGTGTAAGGGAAAGCATACAATGTTTGTTTGTACGCTTGTGTGTTTGCATGTGATGACAGATAGAAGACGATGAAAAGTGAGACATTAAAGAATACAGATGCATATATATATTTGCAAATAAACAGGAAGATTCTGATGACGTTAAACCTAGTAGAAGATTTTGATTATGATGGATGTGGGAAAATTTTCCTCTGGAGGTTAACTAATCAGTTATGTAGAACTACACTTCACATTATGTCTGCGCCAAATGATTTAAGGCACTGTGTGATGGTGCGAAATAAATATTATTATTATTATGATTGTTATGATGGTAATAAAAATTCGCTTCATTCCAATTGTTTTCGACACTTTCACATATAAATTACTACAGATTAGGGCGTCGAAAGTGTTGTTCATCTCTTCTACTTTTCACCTGTTATTCTTTTGCATTAATAATCACTCCTAATACATTGTACATTTGTACGCCTGTTAGCCTATTCCCTTAGCACATTCACATCTCACAAACACAGACGCAAATTTATATTTTTATGAATATTAAACGCTAACTTGGAAATCTTCAATGCAAATGTGAATATTTAGATTTATTTCCACCTCCCCTCTTTTGAACTACAAGACATTCTCGCGAGAAAAATATTTCACTGGACGATGTCTTAGGTTGTATATGTAGGTAGGTAGGTAGGTACGTGTACTGTATTAACAACCCAAATATGTGTAGAACAGACACAATAAAAATCGTTAATTAAAATGACTTTCAATAGCTACATTAAGAGGAAACACATGCCATTTGCTTCAAGGTAATTAAATTATGAGGTGATCAGCTTTCATCACTTGGTAAGACGATGACCAGTGTTAGTATTCTTCACCAGATGATCAACGTAACCCGGAAGTACACACATGCACTGGATAATGAATAAATAGAAGGTCAGGTGCGATATGCCCTGCCACTGACAGGGTTTCCGATCATTAGCAACATTAACACCTAGTCAACAATTTGAAAAGTTTTGAAACAATACAAGTTGTAAATCGGGATATCTTTCAGGAGAGATCTGCGTTTTTAATACGGATCAATACTAGAAATCTATCAGCTAATTCATCATCCGTAGCATAAATAATACTATTTTGTGCGAGAATTGTGTACTAAAAGTTGAATTTATTGACCTTTTCTCTCATTGAACAGGTTACTCTTGACATATCAGCGCTTAGAACAAGTGCTTCGATGATGTCTTTGATTTCAAACCCTTTTTATGGTAGGTAGAGGCTATAAGTAAAATTCAAGAGGTTGGTTTTGTTATATTTAGGTTTTATTAGCTAGTTATACATGAGTGATGTTGATCGTAACGGCAAATGCTGAGTTCGGGTCCTCGTAGAAATACTATCGCATTAAGATGAAAGTATCAAACGGGAAAAGCATATCTTGGACTCCACTGGTGACCACCATCTATCGAATAATACCAAATCCAGCGTTGTTTATATTCAATAAGAAACAAATTTAAGACCATTGAGAATAAGTTAAGCTACTTTAGAATTATCTAAAGAAAAGAATTTTGGAAAAAAAATAATTCTCATGTCATAAAATGCTTGAAAGAAGCAAATAAACACGCTAGTTTGGCTATTATAAGTCATATGAGTATGTGTAATTGGTTAGAAAGCAATATTCAAATTTAAGATTGCAATTTATCAGTGGTTTATCTGTGCATAAGTTGTTTAGATAAAACCTTTTGACATAGTATTCACTGGTTCTGTAAAGGTGCCTAAGACAGTGTATATTTCCTGTCGCATGGTAGGTAAGGAAAATACAAAAACAGTGAACTAAATATACTGTCATATAACTGATGACTAAGGTGAGTCTGTGTGCAATTACGCAATCACCTTCACATAATATGGTTTATCTAATTAGCCATGATTGTGTTTTTAACAATATTTAGATATATTGTTGTCGAAATATAAAGTAATGGTTCTGGTTAGCTTGGGAGAAATCGCAGTTGACAGATTAGGTTAAATTAACCCAAAGGGTTGGATACTAAGTGTTTATTCATCAATAAGACCCCACTGGATGGATACATAAGTTAGTTGATAAGTGATCTGCTAATATTCACAATTAACTTCAAACAGTACATCCACTTTATTTCCAAAGGCTGAAATGGACAGACACTTTTTATTCTAATAGTAATAAATAGTGTCATAAAAGAATCACTATAATTGTAACATCACTAATACCCAGAAATTTGTGAAAATTTGACTTCAAAATTAGGCTATTTTTCTATAAACTCAAAAGAAAATTTAGAGCAAGAACTACTGTACTTGACATCATTAGTTATGCATGAATTTAATTTTTGTGCATAAATTTACCTTAGAGGTATGTTGTAATCGCTCTTTTTTTAAGGTCAAGAACAACAACAGTTCAGATTGATCTTTCTCCTGTTTAATCATTGGTATTTATGCTTTGTTAAACATAACTTGATGATACAATTCGTCTTTAAATTCATAAGTACTTTTCAAGTTATCGTTGATATGATATCCGACCAGCAACACAAGGGACACTACTGCTTAAAAATGAGTCAAAAATGAGAGAAAATAATTACCAATATCAGGAGAGCGTTGATGCTGTGTGATATGAATTGGTTGAAGCTGAGAAAATACCATCTATATGGAAATCTCACTGGTCCAATCTGACAATAAGCTCAAATTCAGCTATCGACAAATTAGACAAAAGAGTTTTTAAAATTTGTTATTGATCCCCCTCAGCTTAACAAGCTTTGCGAACTAACCTTCAAACGTAAATATTAACTAGGATTTTGTTTGTTTTGAAATCATGAGCATGTTCTGTTCCTGAAACTCATCCTTTTTCATTGTTTTAAACACTTAGTCCCAAGTAGTCTAGTCAAGATAGAGAAATTTCAATGCAGGCAAATGATGAACACTATTGAAAGAAAATCTCAGTTTTGACAAATTCTGAAGGTGATTGTTTCAAATCCAGACTGCTGTTTAGTTTGCTTTTTTATTCACAAAATTTTAAGAATAACTTACGGTACCTAAGCATAAGGTGAAAACACATAAAATGCATACTAAACGTCTCAGTTGTATTTACCACACAAGAAAAGCAATCTGAAAACAGATGTATCATTTGTATCTCTAGGTTAATACAAAACTTAGAATGCAAATCAATGCATGTAAAGCTTTTAAACATTTATCTGTTATATTTTTTCTAACGTTTAAGCAAAATACAAAAACGAAAAGATCACAGATGTCAGGTAATAGTACAATGATGACCAATGAAGATACTGTGCAGATGTTTACCAGTAAGGTAAAGAGTAGGTTATTTAGATCTAAGAGTGTACGAAATATCCATCTGAAACGAATTAAATTGTTTAGTGGTTGAATTGTTATATAAACACAAAAAGTTCAAAATCTCCAGTTAATCTCACCAATTAATTTGTAGGGGACTTAAGTTAGAGTTCACTAGTATTACAAAATATGAGAAATAAAATTCAAGTCAATGGAATGTTAAGTAACAGTATATTACCAAAAATGCAACGACACGTTATATCAACAAAAAGGTTACTTGGAAATAAAGTTTAAGTCCTCTGCTTCAAATTATTTATATAACCCACGGAGATGTTAGGTGTTTGGACGGAGTAGGTTGTAGCTGCTGTGTCCTGGTTGTAGAATTGTCTTCGGTTGAGCGTAGTGGACTCCTACAATAAATCCGAAAGATACAACACGGTGAGAGCTGAGCTAGTAAGCCAAAGAAACCAAGGAGAAGACGAAGTCTCCAACAGCAGAGTGTATTTTCCAATCGTACACGGAAGACAAGGGTATTTCAACCAGAAGCGTTTTAAACAAAAATTATGTACAATATGTCTAATTTCTACAAATAACCGAAAAGTGTACAATCACATTGTTACGCACTCCACAGGACTATCCAGACTTCCTACCCTTTTTATGTGAAAATGTCAATAAATTTTTTCTACCTTCAATGCGTAATTCTTTCTTCTTTACTTTTTTTCTTATAAAGATGGTAATAAATAAAATGGAAGTTCAATGCAAGTGTCATGGTGTCAGTGGATCGTGTGAAATGCGTACATGTTGGCGATCATTACCTAAATTTCGAAATTTAGGTGCACATTTACAAGAAAGATTTCATGAAGCTATACAAGTAACCTATTTAAACAATCGTCTAGTTTCAATGAAAGCCTTAGAACAATTAAGTAAAGAATCTAATGGAAATACACTTCTCCTGTCTCCTTCAATGATGCTATCGTCAGCATCATCATCGTCATCTGGAAGTGGAACAGCTAACGGAATGAATCGGAATGCATTAGAAACTTTAATTAATTCTGCATCATCATCTTTACCATCTCCAACAGAAAATGATTTAATTTATACTAGCGAATCACCAACCTTTTGTCATCATGATCCACGATATGGTAGTATTGGTACTTATGGACGTCAATGTGATGAAAATTCACAAGGTTTAAACAGTTGTCATTATTTATGCTGTGGTCGAGGTTTCAAACGACAATCATTTGTTCAACAGGAAAGATGTGACTGTAAATTTCAGTGGTGTTGCAAAGTTGTCTGTAAAACATGTCGTAAAACAGTTGTTATATCTACATGTAATTAATTAATATATATACATATATTTACATATATAATTATATACATATATATAAATATTTATATATGAGTACAAAAGTATCTTTTTACTGTTTAGAAACCACTTTCTTTTTCTCCGTAAATATCTAATCTACTATCTCTATAAAAATACCATTGGTATCTATCCTCTTCTTTCATTTCCACGCCTTTTGTTGGAGAAAATCGAAATGGACAGTTATTCTCTGTACGAATTTTATACAATAACAACTATTAATAAAAGCAATGATAACGATACATCAACAAATATCCAAGATGAAAAGCACTCAGTACATCTTAAAAGACTAATCATCACTAATTAGCGCATTTTTCAATATGCGTCAACAAAATATGAAAGATAAAAGCTAACAATAACAGTAACAATATTACTAATTATAATTCTTGAAGAATGATCTGTTTAGTGAATTCACTATGGAAAGAATAGAAAAGATGCTTGACAAAAAGATGGAACACGTAATCACAGTCCATCTATTGTATCGTATCTGTCAGTCCCTTTTTATCTCTACTATTTCTTATTGTAAATGTTCACTTCCTAATAATACTAACAATAACAATAATAATAATGATAACATGTGTATATTCTGTCTGAACTCATACAGTTAATTCAATCATATCTCATTATTTACAATGTTTATATTCTCTATGCAAAAAGCACAAATGAAAAGACTTTAAAAAAACAAAAACGAACACAATACTGCAAGTAATCATTATACGAATTCATCTGTTTTATTATTCACTTTGATCTATTCTCTATACAAATATATATACATATAAATACGGGTAATATGCTTTCCCATTGATAAGGGTAGGTTGGTTGTCTAAGAGTCAGTTCGTTATCTACACTGCTGGTATGTCTCATAATAGCTTCGAAGACCCTGGAAAAAAGGAACGAAAACCACAAAAATAGTCTGTGTGTGACTTCTGTTTTTATTCTACCTATAAGTGTTTGTGAAAGGTTATTATTTTGAATTTCTCCGTTGATTGACTCGTCTGAAATATTCAGTCTCTTTTGTGATATGCAGGCTTTTAATATGGATACTTTAGTGACGCCTTTAGGTCAACCCGATATTATTTGATTGATGGTAGGTAGTGGTATATAATCCGAAAAATTATGTTTACTTAAGGGCATAATCGAAGTGCCCTTACCAACAACCGCCATGTCAGCAAAGACTATACATTCCAGTCCGATGAAACTAATCAATGGGAGACTTTAGATAAAAGTTTTAACAAACGTTCAACAGGTGGCTACGGTGGTCCATTAGCCCAGTGGGAAGCACTTTCAGGGTTAAAGCCATGGGTATCAAGTTTGAGTCACTTACTGGAGATGGAGGTACATCCAGATAACGAGTTAGAAATGTAAAGAAGCGCGCGTTCCAGATTCTATTTAAAGCCACCAACGACCAAGCCAATTATAAGTACAAAACGATGTACTACTGATTGATTGGGATAAGTAGTGGTATACCACCCATAATAACCAGTAGTACTGTAACAACAGAAGACAAGGGCCAGGCAACAGAACGTTTATTACGGAAAATCAACACATATTTATAGATCTCGATGTACATTATTGTAGGTTAGTGTTAGTAGAAAATACAGTCTGTTGATTGGTTGTTTCTCACACAAAGTTAACCTTGCATCTCTTGTGGCTGTGTCAGTTCATCTATATGTTAACCGCATCCGCCTGTCCATCTTGGCCTTGTTTTCAAATGACTAACATTGACCTCAATTACTGTCAACCAATTTGGCTAGCAACCATCTCTCACCACAGTACTTACTAGCCAGGCCAATGTAATTTAAACACCAGGTGGTCGCTTCACTCGTTTTATTCATGCTCATCAGAGGTGCACTAGGTGTGGTTGAGCTCAGAGAGGTGAATCAGTTCAAACCACCCGATTTCTGTCTAGCTACTAGAGCGAACTGGTAACACCATAAATCAAGATCTAAATTTACAAAGTAATTCGCAATTTATAAGTAGCTAGCCAGAAACTGGGTGGTCCGAACTGATCCAGCTCTCTGAGTTTAAATCGAACTTGGTACATTTCTGATGATTACGACGCAAAATGAGCGGAACTTCCATCTGATGTTTAAATCACATCGACCTGGTTAGCAAGCACGACTGGTTTTCATGAGTGTTATACAACTACTCATCTCACTCAATCAGTAGTAAGTAGTTTTATGCAAATATGTTTGCCTTCTTGATTGCCACTTATGGTTCCAAGCAGATCACATTCGGTGATCTGAATAATTTGGTTTCTGGTGAGATTTCACCTCCTTAAACTCTAAATTACAAATCGTGAATTAATTTGCAAGTTATGATTTAATCTACTTATGAGTAGTGTAAAGTAGTTGGTAAAAGTGAGTCTCACTTGAATACAAATATAGGTTTACTCTGAACAATATCTTTCTACTCATTACCAATTTTTCGGAGTACATTATTGAAAAATAATTGCTCATTGAACATAATATTCAAGTAAAATAGCAACTGATGGTATAAAATTCGGCGCAATAATGCTCAGTGTGATTCGCAGTGTAACTCATCACGATATTTGTCCTTTATTTTCTTTATCGACGAAATCATCTTCAGAGGCTTTACAATCGTATTTATACTTGCAAAAATATATAGTGGTCTATTATTGAGTAATAGGGGGTGACATAATTGATATAATTACTCAGAAGTGGCTTTAGAAGTGAAAATTAGAAATTGAAAATTACGTGGTACTCAACGGCAAAAAGATAGAAATTTGATAAGGTTAAAATTGCTATTAAGTGAGAATAAAGGTATTTGAGTGTCAACTTAACAAGTGTGAAGAGGGTGTGAAAATATACAAAAGGAGCATATGAGAGTGATAATAGTGAATTAATTATTAAAGCAAAAGCTAACTAAAAGTGAAATTAGAATGAAAAGAAAAAATCAAAAAAAAAATTTTTTATTTACAAGAAACGATTAGTGAAGAGGTTAAGACCAAGGTAGAATAAGAGACTGGACAAACTTTTTCTGTATACAGAGTTCAGGGTTGTATTGATGAATTGCTAGAGCCTCCGTCATACACAAAAGCCGAAACCTGACGCCCTTTGTACCATTTGGCTTCACTTTGTAGATGATCTTGAAAGATGATTCTGGTGGAGCTACGTGGCCTGAGTTCACCAAATGTTCGAGAATTGAGCTAGTAATTGTCTTACATTGTCCCTTTGCTAACCATGCCGGATAATGCTCAGAGATGCGTTTGGAAAGCGTGCGCTTTGTGCGGCCAATATAACTAGCTCCACACGAGCAAGTGAATTTATAAACACACATTGAGGTGGCCCAAAGCGGCAGTTTATCCTTCACACACCCGTTGATCATTTGTCGGCTGTAGAAGTTGATACGTAGTTCAGCCATAAAGAAGGCTTTCCTCAGTGATCTGCATAAGCGATTCTTCAGGATCTCAGCTGCGGTATCACCTCTAAATTCGACACTCATAAACAGTAGTTTCTTCGGCACCGTCTGTATTCTTTCGGGTTTTTCCCTTGGCTTCATGTTTTTCTCGATGAATCTTGGAGGATATCCATTCTCTATGAGGACTTGTCTGAGTCTCTCCAGTTCCCCAACGATTGTATCACTTGAACATATCCTCCTTATTCTTGAGGATAAGGAATGGATCAGATTTCTCTTTCTTCTCAAAGGGACCCAGCTATGGAAATTTGTGTATTGACCATTCCATGTTGGTTTCCTGTAGATCGATCTTTGAAGAGAGCCATCCGATCTCCTCCTTAGAAAAACATCCAAAAACTGGAATTCCGAGTTATTCTCTGATTCCGACGTGAACTTGATGGCATGATGGCAGCTGTTGAACTCTTTGGTTATCAATTCGATGTCGCTATTGTCATCACAAATGATGAAAGTATCATCAATGTATCTTTGGTACAGATGGAAGCTGTCGATAGTAGGCCGTAAAATATTATTCTCCAAACTGGCCAAGAAGCAGTCTGCAAGTAAAGGACCCAATGGTGACCCCATTGCCACACCATCTCTTTGTCTATAAATCGTATTGTTGAACTTGAAATGAACATTTAGAGTGCACCTCAATAGTAGTTCCTTTAAGTAGTGGATCGGAACACATACGTCTACGTTATTATCCTCAATGAATTTGCATATAAAGCAGATAGTTTCAGTGAGGGGAACGTTGGTGAAAAGCGAAGTGACATCCATGGATATCATTTTCTTCCCAGATACATTAGCATCTTTTATTGAGTCGACGAATTCAAACGAATCAGAAACACTATGCTTGGAAAGGTTGTCTCTGATAGGTAGGAGGATATCTGCGAGCCATTTGGCAGTAGCATGATATGGAGAATTTATCATATCCAATTGCAAGCCTTGTCGTCGGGTCCAAAATTCTGTGACATTTCAACAAATTCGAGTGACTTGGATATTAAAGTCCAGTTTGAAGCACTGATCCAACAGACAAATGACCTTCCTGCAGCGTCCAATAAATCATATGAACAATTCAAGTCTACAGTACTAAACAGCTGCCATCAGTACATCAACACGAAACCAAATGTCAAAAGATTGATATCAGCCGAGCACAGAAAACAACTACGTGAGATTCTAAAGAACAAAACTTGGTTCTGACACGCCCTGACAAAGGTGCTGGTATTGTCCTGATGGATCGCCAAGACTACATCGATAAAATGTTATCAGTCTTGTCAGATGAAAACAAATTTTCAAAAGAAAGTAGCCAGAAAGACCAAACGGAACAAATTGAAGACAAGCTAACACAAATGCTAAAGAAGATGAAGAACGAGTCGATTATCAGCTCTGAATTATTCGAGCAAATACGACCCTCCGGTTCCGTGATTCCCCGTTTATATGGTCTGCCGAAAGTGCACAAAGAGAACGTGCCACTACGTCCAATCTTGGACATGATAAATTCTCCATATCATGCTACTGCCAAATGGCTCGCAGATATCCTCCTACCTATCAGAGACAACCTTTGCAAGCATAGTGTTTCTGATTCGTTTGAATTCGTCGACTCAATAAAAGATGCTAATGTATCTGGGAAGAAAATGATATCCATGGATGTCACTTCGCTTTTCACCAACGTTCCCCTCACTGAAACTATCTGCTTTATATGCAAATTCATTGAGGATAATAACGTAGACGTATGTGTTCCGATCCACTACTTAAAGGAACTACTATTGAGGTGCACTCTAAATGTTCAGTTCAAGTTCAACAATACGATTTATAGACAAAGAGATGGTGTGGCAATGGGGTCACCATTGGGTCCTTTACTTGCAGACTGCTTCTTGGCCAGTTTGGAGAATAATATTTTACGGCCTACTATCGACAGCTTCCATCTGTACCAAAGATACATTGATGATACTTTCATCATTTGTGATGACAATAGCGACATCGAATTGATAACCAAAGAGTTCAACAGCTGCCATCATGCCATCAAGTTCACGTCGGAATCAGAGAATAACTCGGAATTCCATTTTTTGGATGTTTTTCTAAAGAGGAGATCGGATGGCTCTCTTCAAAGATCGATCTACAGGAAACCAACATGGAATGGTCAATACACAAATTTCCATAGCTGGGTCCCTTTGAGAAGAAAGAGAAATCTGATCCATTCCTTATCCTCAAGAATAAGGAGGATATGTTCAAGTGATACAATCGTTGGGGAACTGGAGAGACTCAGACAAGTCCTCATAGAGAATGGATATCCTCCAAGATTCATCGAGAAAAACATGAAGCCAAGGGAAAAACCCGAAAGAATACAGACGGTGCCGAAGAAACTACTGT